CGGGAGGGATGGTGGCCGGGAAACCCCTTCCTCAGGACCAGGAGCAGTGGGATGGTGGCTCAGAAGCCCCTCCCTCTGGGCCAGGAGTGGTGGGAGGGATGGTGGCCTGGAAGCCCCTTCCTCTGGGGCAGGAGCAGCAGGACAGAAGGTGGCCCAAAAGCCCTTTCCTCTGGGCTCGGAGCAGCAGGAGGGATGGTGACCGGGAAGCCCCTACCTCTGGGCTGGGAACAGCGGGACTCAGTACCTTGGTCTGGTGGTCTGGTGTCCTCTGCGTCTTTGTAGTGTGGAACCAAGTGGCTGCCTGTCTGCAACGGGGTGATTCAGTGTCTTCCACGTGACTCAGGATCTCAGTAGGGTGTGCACAGACCTTTCTGTGTGCAGCGGGCTCTCAAGTATGTTTTTGAAAGGAGTTCCCTACCTCTAATCAACCACAGGTTTGGGCCACATGTAACCCCCGAAAAATATTTTTTCTGACTCTTCAGCCCATATGGTCATAAGACTCTGAGGAACCCTTGGATTTGTTTCTGCAGAAGCATTGTCTATAGAAATTGTTCAACTTATAACATTGAGAAAAAAAAATCCCAACAGCTCCTACTTATTGAGGGTAAAACTATGTACCCTGGTACCTCATATAATGTATATATTATCTATCTAATGATTCTCAACCAGGGAAGATTTTGCCCCCAGGGGACACTGGACAATTAAGACACTGTTGATTGTCACAAGTGAGATGGGAAGGGTGGATAGAGGTTAGAGACACTGCTGACCGTCCCACAATGCATGTCATCACAAAGAATTATCTGGCCTAAAATATGCACAGTAAAAAGAATTTCCAGCATGACAAAAACAGCTACTTGTCCATATCATGCCCCTCTCCCTATACTGGGGATTGAATCCAGGTACTTTGCATGGAGCTACATCACTAGCTCTTAAGGCTTTTTATTACTTAAAACTTCAGTACAAATAATGCAATGACAGAATTCAGTAAACACCTTACAAGTGTAGCTCTCAATGTCAATGGTCTTAACTCCTCAAAAGACAGACTAGTAGATTGAATCAAAAACAAAAATACAACATATATTGCCTACAGAAGACATCTCATGCAAAAGGAAGCTCGTAGACTAACAGTAAAAGAATGGAAAATGATACCCCATGCAACTGGAGCCCAAAAGCAAGCAGGAATAGCTACTGTATTTTCAGACAGAGCAGATTTCATGCCAAAACTAGTCATAAAAGACAAAGATGGCCACTACGCAATACGTAATAGCAAGAATCAAATAATGAGATTATACCACATTTAAAAGTATCTGTACAGCAAAGGAAACAATCAACAGAGTGAAGCGACAATCTGCAGCATGAGAAAAAAATTTTGCAAGGTATTCCTCAGGTCAGAGGGTGAATATCTATAGAGTTAAAAAAGAAATAGGGCCCCAAAATAAAAGATTCGATCAAAAATGGGCACATGAAATGAACAGACACTTCTCAGAAGATGAAGTACATATGGCTAGTAAGTACATGAAAATAAGTTCAGCCATCTTTGGCCATTAGAGAAATGCAAATTAAAACAACAGTGAGATTCCATCTGACTCCAGAAAGAATGGCTCTCATCACCATCTCTGCTAGCAAGTTTTGAGGAAAAAGGAGCACTCCTACATTGATGGTAGGAATGTAAACTAGTATGCGCACTATATAAATCAATATGGAGATTCCTCAAAAACTAAAAACAAATTCCATTTCACCCAGATATACATCTTCTGGGTATCTTTCCTAAAAAGTTAAAGATTTCTTACAGTGATATATGCATACCCATGTTTATAGCAACATAACTCACAACAGCTAAATTTTGGAAATGGCTTATATGTCCACCAACAAATGATTAGATTAATAAAATGTGATAGAGGTGCACCATGGATAAATCTGAGTTAATTGTAGGAAAATGGATGCACTTGAGACCATAATGCTAAGCAAAATAAATTAGACACAGAAAGTTACATATCACATTGTTTCTCCTACATGAGAAATCCAACATGTGAATAATTTAAAGAGCAAAATAAAAGGCAACAGGAAACAGGGAAACCTTTTGCAGATGAGGAGATCTAGGGATGGAGGGAGAGGGGAGTAAGGGAAGGGGAAAGGGAAATAAAAACAACTAAGATGTGATATGTACATGTACCAACTTTCCATGATGAATGTATTTATTATATATCACAAACATGTACTAATAAAAAAGTATAAATAAATAAATTTCAGTATAGTCAGGTGTGGTAGTACATGCCTGTAATCCCCAGGCCTATGGAAGGCTGAAGCAGAATAATCCTAAGTTGGAGCCCAGCGTTGGCAATTTAGTGACTAAGGAAGACCCTATCTCAAAAAAACACAACACTTCAGAATCACGTATATCCATATTTAACCAAACATGGACAAAGAAATGAACAGGACTTAGGAAACTGAATTACTATCTTTGGGACTCAAACTAGAATGTGAGAAGAAAAGGATGGTGAACAGATTTTTAACTGAATATCTGTTTACAATCCCTCCATTCCACAGGTTTAATCCTCACCATAGTGTCGATGATGATTCTGAGTGCATATAAGCTAAGTCACTGTTAGAGATCAAGCATTCACAGATTCCCACTGGTGAGTAACCTGACTAATCACAGCCCAAATTGGAAAAGCCCTACCAAAGCCTTTCATTTACCTTCTGTTAAATACTGAAGGCCTTATACACATATAATCCAATTAAACCTTCAATCTGGGATCATTTAGGTAGGTACCCACAATATAAGAGGCAAATTAAAGAGTTCAGTACCGTATAGCTGGAGAATAATATACAAAGAGTGAGCGAATTTACAATTAGAGGAACCAAGTGCAATCCCTTTGTGAACTTGCTCAGGTGGGAGGCCAGAGGCTGAGGCAGACAGGTGAGGTCAGATGGTGAGCTCATCACAGCACTGATGCCAGGCCGAGGGGCCATCATCTTACCGTCTTCCACAGCCAGGAAAATGTTCTTTAAAGTAGGAAAGTAGCTGCTCTGTTTACTTTTCAGGATCTTAACCATCTTGAGGACAACAGGAGCTTGAAGCTAAATTAAAGGGGGGGAAAACCTTTCATAAATACAAGCTAGATTATTAAATGAATCCTGTAATAAAATATGAATCATTGCATAGTACCATAATATCAATTATGCCCAAAGCAAGCTGTGAAGAGTTAACCCCACAATTAGCTTGTTTATAGAAGTGAGTCTGGCCAAAGCTTACCTGCCCAAGTCAGAGTAACTAGAACCCAAGTTCTCTTCCCACAACTAAAACCTTCAGACTAGAAGGACAATGTTGTAATTACAACCATATATTTTACCTGTTCTCCTCCTAATTTGAGAATGTCTTGTCTTGTCCTTTATTAGCCTTGTTTACATTAATTCCATAGAAACCACTTCTAGCTTGCCTTTAACCCAACTGATTGTCAATAAAAGTTAATGCCTGGGACTGGCCAGCACCTTGGTCAGTTGCACCATCTCTGGTCATTCTGGTACCCTGCTTTCTCTCCTAGTTCTGTCTCTTAGTGTATTTTTTTCTCAGGCCTGTGTCACACACTGGGCAGGTGGGGACTAGAGACTTACTGCAGGAGTCTCTGGCAAATCATATTCCACTCATACACAATATGAAGAGGATTTAATACCCAAATGCATATCTGGTTTCAAGCTGAAAGTAATATTTTTTTCAGCTTGTATTTTATTTTGCATTTCCACATAAAATTTCTGCATCTGTTCCAGAAGATCTTCAGGAGACATGTGAGTGAATGCCTCAGCTTTTGGAACATTAAAGTAAGTAACTTAATGGCAAGCACCTGGCAGAGGAACCAAAGTTAGATCTTCCAAAGCTGTATCTCCACTAAGCAAGACCCTATTCCTTCCCAATTAAATCAGCTAGATTTAACTAAGCTTAACACTCTTTAACTTTCCCTCAGGGAACCACTTTTTCCACTGCCAAAAAATATTTCCTACTGTCTCAAGTGATGTCAAAATGTTCACATAAAGGCAAAATTATTTTTCATCACCCATTAATTTAAAAAATGCACACCATATATACAGCATTTGCAGTAAGAACAGAATATCAAGTCATATAAAGACCATGTAAAACCTTTAAAACTATAGAAACCACTGCTCAGGAGACCTCAGTCTCCAGTTGACCTTGCTCATTGAAATTACAATCTCTAGGGCTCTCACTTACTTGATCATAAATGCATGACAGATTCTCCATCCTCAACATCCAGAAATCCAGCTCAGTTAGAGGAGTCAGGTGAAGACCACTCTGCAAAGGCTGTGGCGAATCTCTTTCTACAATTTCTTGGATTTGGTGTGACCACTTGATAACCACAGATTCAATTTCATGCAGTAGTCTCCTCTCATTTGAGGGTAGTCTTCAAATTTTGAAATGATTAATACATAATTCAAAGATGATTATTTTATCCAAGTAGATAAGGCATGGATTTTAATATTTTATGCACATATACACTAATTTTCTAAATATAAGTTCTTCAAAATCCATTGAGTTGCAACATTATTTTATTTTGTATTTAGCATGCCTCTGCTGTTACAAAACATTGTTAAGCAAAAAATTAACATATTTTCAAAAAACATTTTACTAAAAGAATATTGTTGTTGAGATCATGGTGACTGTTAAAATTTCCTGTTGGACAGTATGCTTTGAGCCAGGCACTTGAGAGGCTGAGGCAGAAGGATTGCCATGAGTTTAAGGCCAGCCTGAACTACATAGTGATACCCTGTCTCAAAAAAATAAATAAAAAGTATGCTTTGAAAAGAAATACACATTTTTAACATTTGCTGTAGCTATAATTATTTTACTGAGTTTGCTAAGGGTGTGATATTAAGCAGATAAGCCAGCCCTCCATTTTCATGTATTGTATTTACCACATCATTACCTACTTGGTCTGCGAATAATTCTGATCCAGGTCAATATTTTCTGCAACAGTAGGAATTGGGAGACGTGTTCTTCTAGACATTTTGCCCCTAAAAATATGCATCTTATTTTTCATGACTTCTGTGTGACGTTCCATATCTTGTGAAGTAAAATATGACCAGGACTTATGGTTGTTTTTATTAGAAAGAATTGGCATTAGTATCTACAGAAAGAAAAGTGTTTTTAAAAGCAGTTAATGCACAATGTGCTCCTTAAAAAATTGTCTTGCCATACATAATGGGCAAAAAAAAGCACTCAATTTCATAAATATCGTATGATATCAAGTCTACAAAGGTGCAAAGTCAGTGCTTCGTTTAGACCTAATCACTGAGACATAAGTTATTTCACAGTGGAAGTATGATACTGCTTGTTCATTCATTTATCCATTTACCATCACTTGCAGAGGCTCTCAAGAACTCAAACACTGCACGGAACAAGCAAAGTCATATTTAGCAAACAAACTACTTTCTTAATGCAAACTGAGCACGTGGGGAAGCATATTAAAAAATCTTTAGGGGCAGAGGACACCAGACCACCAGACCAAGGTACTGAGTCCCACTGTTCCCGGCCCAGAGGTAGGGGCTTCTGAGCCATTGTCCCACTGCTCCTAGTCCAGAGGATAGGGCTTCCCAGTCACCATCCCTCCTGCTGCTCCGAGCCCAGAGGAAAGGGCTTTTGGGCCACCTTCTGTCCTGCTGCTCCTGCCCCAGAGGAAGGGGCTTCCAGGCCACCATCCCTCCCACCACTCCTGGCCCAGAGGGAGGGGCTTCTGAGCCACCATCCCACTGCTCCTGGTCCTGAGGAAGGGGTTTCCCGGCCACCATCCCTCCCGCTGCTCCCAGCCCACAGGAAAGGGCTTTTGGGTCACCATCCCTACTGCTGCTCTCGGCCCCTGGCCCACCTCACCCAGCTCAGAGGAGGTAATCTGTGCAGGCGCTAA